TAAAGGTTTGAATTGAATTGAATCTCCCAACGCCAAACTCTTCTTTGAGTATTGTTTTCCTGCTGTCTTCCTTATGATATGCTAATTCCTTGTATTTTAATGTTTGCAATGCCAATAAAGGTTTGAATTGAATTGAATCTCCCAACGCCAATCGAACCAGCAGCTCTAGTGATCATTCTGCAAAAGTTTCCCCCCTAATCGTTGGCGCAGGAGAAGCTGGAACAACAGAATTGTGGAGGGAGCTGAAAAAATGAGAATTAGTTGGCCCTCAACGTATCCTTTGCAAAAACAGCTCTGCTCAGAAGCAAATCGATGCAACGGCGGTGCAGATAAATATACAATTCTTAGGCGGTGGGATACAGCCTGAACTGGACCTAAATGACCAGCATTTGCTGAGCGTTTTTCAGAAGAAAATCATCTTTTTCCAGGCCACTGAAAAGCACTGCTCTCGCGCGCACACGGAAGAGCCAGAACCGAACAAAGCCAGACAAAATTGCGTGTCCTGCAGCTGACAACCATCCAACTCCCCAACGCTGTCTCTCCCAATGATTTTTAACCACTAAAATACACCCATTTCTGGTGGTTCTCGCCCCCCGTTTTAAACTTCTTCAGAGGAAGGAAAAGTTTTAAGCCACGTTGGGCTGTTTCCAGCGACGCACAACCGATTTTAAGAGCATTAATTGCAATTCTGACAATGCCGGTGAAGATGCGGGCAGGCAGGAGGAGCTGAAAACAGAGAAAGAGCTTGACACGGACGGTTTCGTTCTGCCACCCGTTGCTCGCTTTGGTCCAAGTGTCTAAGTGTATAATAAGCATTTAAAATTAAGTCTTGCCAGACAGGCAGGGAGGGGTGAAATAAGGAAAAAAGAGGGAGATTTGGGAAGGAGGAAAGAGGAGAAGAGGGGGGTTAAACAGTGGAGAATGAAGGGGGTGGCGGCAAAGATGCAAATCACTAGTGCAAAGAAAATTATGTGCAATTACTCAAGAAAACGGGCAGCTCTGCCCATTTCAGCCAACAAGATCTCATTAATAAGCAGAAAATAAGATTGAAATGGTGTGTGAAAGAACTGGAAAAATGAATTTGAATGCCGCATTTGTCCACAATTACCCCCGCGTTCACACATATTTTATTGCAATTTTTTTATTATTCTTAATCTTTCCATCCCTCAAAGCAGATTGGGAACATCCTGGCATTAGGGCAGCCCAAGAAGGAGCATTACAGACCCTGCTCGTTTGCCAATTTGCGAGGGCCGGGCCGGGGAGGATCAGAATTCGTGGCTCCGGCTTATCGCCGTGTACGTACAAGCGTTTTGCAAAGAGAGCACCCCCCCAAACCCACCCCTCCCAACCTTCGGGGGCATGGCACGAGGCCCCCCACCCTTCCTGGAAAGAACATGAGAAAACGGAGCGGATATGGAGACCGCGTGAGCTGGGACTGGCGGTTTTCCCCCCGCGTTTTGGGGGGCCCTTCCGCAGAGGCCCCGGGCAAATTTTGGTGTCTCCCCAACACCCCCGCCCCCCCTCTTTGGGGGCCCCCCC